TTACAACGTTAAAAACAATAAAACGGCATGAATTGCTTCGTCGCATTCAGATCCTCTGTCTCGAGCCAGTTAACTAGCGGGCCTTCTAGAGCAGTGCTTCTCAAAGTGTGGTCTGCGGACCACTGGTGGTCCGTGAGCGCCCCCTAGTGGTCCGTGAGTATATTGGTAAAATTTCACATTTTTAATTAATTAATTCATTTAAGTTTTCCGCACTCTCGCGGGAATATCTCCGCAATGGAGCGAGCTTAAGTTTCACTTTCGATTGCATGATATAACCCAGATAAAGCACCTTCATCACACATGTTGCCACTTGTTTGTACAATTTTCAGGCGATTTGTAAAAAACGATGTGTTTTGGGATATTTGTGGAGTTAGGTGGTCCGCGAGTGTTTTTTTATTGGTTAAGTGGTCCTTGGTATGAAAAAGTTTGAGAAACACTGTTCTAGAGAGTACCCTGGAACCGAGGGAAACTCTGAAAGAATACGCCCATTGGCTACAAATCAATATATGATTGGTTGATCAAACTGTCAGTCCAAACGTACGCTCTCATTCAGTGCAACGGCCAGGGCATTCGATCAAGGATGTAGAATACCTTAGTTGAAGGATATTCTACCCAGAGACCCAGAACAAGATCTGATTGGTTGCTTTCTTTTCTAACACAAAACCACTGAAATGTGTAGTGCATGGACCGAGAAGGACAAACAAATCAACGTAAAACTGTAATATTACAGATCAACAACACAGATACGATTCTCATTTATTCATTTTATATACATTTTATTTATATAATTAAATCGATTTTTTGTTTGTTTTATCTGAGTGTTCCAGGGTATTCTCTGAATACCTTGAAGGTAAAACTTGCTAAAATTGTACATATAAATAAATAATAGCGATGTGGTGCTGATAAAATTAAAGATAAAGTGTGCGTTTAAAATATAAAGACTTACTATACATATAAATAAAATAGACATACTATATAGAAAATATGTGCGCTTTACACAGCGTAATCTAATCTCTATGTTACTGGTCTACTTAATTTAATTTAAAAATAAAGAGTATATCTGCTTTATGTTCTGCAGTTTTGAATAAATATAAGTACATTACAGGTTTGGATCACCTGCTAAATGTGGCTCACACAGCTGTGGTACTCCAACAACGTGAGGATGTGACGCCTGAATGAATGAATGAAGCGGCTGCAGAGCTTCATAGCCTCAGACAGATGGTGTTGTTACAGATATCTGCTTAAAGAGTGCACCCTAAATCCCCTGCCTTCACACACACAGACAGCCAGCCAGAGATGTGTGTGTGTGTGTGTGTGTGTGTGTGTGTGTGTGTGTGTGTGTGTGTGTGTGTGTGTGTGTGTGTGTGTGTGTGTGTGTGTGTGTGTGTGTGTGTGTGTGTGTGTGTGTGTGTGTGTGTGTGTGTGTTATGCATGGATTTATGGAGCCATAAAGTACTCAAGATTAAAAGGTAGTTGCGGCAGTGTGTGTGAGTGTGTTTTAATCTGGCCTGGCAGAGTGAGAGGGAGTTAGATGGTTATGTATGTGTCAGCAGCAGCAAAGCTCTGAAGCTAACGTAGAGGTTGGAATGGTCGGATGCAGAGTGACATTTATGCTTTGGCCATCAGAAATCCAGCTTCCCCGGTGAATAACCTTTTAATGGCAAAAGATAATAAATGATGCCGACATGATTACACTTACTAATGGAAACTGAATACTCGGTACTGCCGAGTCTGATGGGTGTCATTAGTTTGCAGATATTTGGTGAATGAAAAGTAGGGCTTGATGATTTTAGAAACATATGTGAACATTGAATATTGACAATGTTACTTGCGATAAATAATCAGATATTAAAGTTCTGCCTTTCTGCTTCTTTTACAATACAGTTAGAATAAAAAACACTTAATTGCTGATGTTTTAAAATTTGACACAAAAAGCATTTCATTTATTTAGTTGCAGTTTTCTACCAATACTCTCTCACCTATAATAAAGTGCAGAATTTCAGTTTCTTTGCAATCAGGTATTATACAAGTTTTGGTTTAGCCCCAAGGACAAATCAGAAAATCCCCAAAGTCATTGAGATTATGTATCTGTTGACAATGGTTCCTGTACCACATTTAATGACAATCTGTCCAATAGTTGAGGACAAACTAACATTACCTACCCTGAAGCTACTCCAGAGTCCAGTTTGAAGCGACACAGGCCAAGATATCCCGGCTTTTAGTCCCAATATGGGTCAGGTTCCACGGCTCTTTTTAGTTTTGACTTATCGCTGTAAATGCACCCAGCTGACTGTGTTTTGAAGAATGTCTTTTGACAGATGGGTTGCAGTTAAATCTGCATAATTCATAATACTGTAGGTGCATAAGTGCAGCAAATGAATCATGACACAGACAGTAACTGTTACTACTGATGAGTCATCTTCATATCTTCACTCAAAAAACACATTTCTCAGACGAGAGCCACCTGAGTTTTGAATACTGACACCAGAGGCCTGTACTACGAATCCAGTTCAACATACCCTGGATATGTTTGAGTTAGCTGGCTTAACTAACCCAAAATAAACGCGATCTCGCTAAGCGGTCCTACGATGCTGGTTATCAACTCGGTAATTCAGTGCGCGTTCACATGAAAGGGGAGGGGTTAGCAACATTTTACCAATCACAAGCATATTGACAGCGCAGCGTCAACACTTTATCCAGGATAAAAGCCACATAGCTGCACCTGCAAGGTGAATACAGAAGAGCTGGTAAAAATATAAGTGTTTGAATGCGTACATTAACAGGTTTATGATATCACTGCCCCGTCTAAGACACGAGTGGATATGACTTTAATTACATTTGACTCGAGTGTTTCGTCAACTTAATGTGTTGCTTAAAATAATACTTCTGCATACAGTATGTGACACTGTGAGTGTTGCACGGCCAGATACGGCTCAGCTGACTCAGATAAGGAGATATATGATACATTATGATGTGATATGATGTGATGTGATATGAATGATAATGGGACACATCGAAGTCTGCACTCACAGTCACTGTACGTAATGTTACGTTGATCTGGTTATTTGTGTTGTGGCAGATATTTAAAGGTGACCTATCATGCTATATTTGAACAATATATTGTAGGGCCATACCTATATAAAGTATATAAATATAGTTTTTTTTTTCAAAATACCAAACAGATCCTGCATTTTAGCCATGCCTCATTTCGCTCTATATGCTCTTTCCACCCCTGTTTTTGCAGGGGGCTGATTCTGTGAACTGCAGCTGACCACGCCCCCCTGCAGGAGAGGGGAGCGTGCTTTGAGAACGGACATGTTGACCGGCGAAAAAAAATCGCACTGAAACTCTGCCGCACGGTCCCCTCGTTCCTTGGAAGAGGCGGAGAGGTGGGTGTTTGTCATCTGCTGGTGGACTAACCGGAGAGAATTACAGCGAGGGAGGGATTGCAATGAATAACAGCAGCAGGAGCAAACGCTTGCCTCGGGGAGGGAGAAAAAGAGCCCCAGCGGAGAATAAACAGAAGGGCAACCATGGCAACCATGCGCGGGAAGTCTTCTTCGCTGCTTTTGTGGCAGAATACAGCGCCACTTATAGGCCTGGCATATGTAATACAGCGTCTCCAGCGCTTTCGAGCGGCAATGGCCGGCGGTGGCCCAACCACACATTCCCCTGATAGGTGGAGAGTTGGCCATATAGGCGGAGCACCACTTCTGTGACGTAGAAAATAATTCAAATCTGGATCAGTCTGCATCAGATCCGTTGCAGCCCCGTTTTTAGAGATTTGGGTATGGAGGAAAAGAGAGAGGGTTTTGTTTTCTGACACTTGGTGAGTTCCCTAGAACACCGGGGACACATATTCATGTATAAAAGACGTACAAAAGTGCATTTTGCATGATAGGTCACCTTTAAGTAAGCTTTCTTAACGCTAATGTTATATTAGTCAGATTGCTCTGAACATGGGTGGTGATATTCTATTAATGATGATTTTTGCCGGCCGTCTTTCCTACAACGGCAGTTTTTCTGTATCCTCCTGTAATATGACTTGATAGCTTTAAACTCCAAACCTGCTCCGGAGCAGGTTTGCCGTTCAGCACAAGTTACCATGGAGATCTAGCCCGGTAAGAAGAGAACCAGCGTCGTAAGACCGGAAACCCAGAGTTAACCCTGAAGTTACCTCGCTAAGTGTAAATCCGGCTTCGTAGTACAGGCCTCAGGAAATGATGTTTGTTTACACTTTAAATTAGTGTAAACAAAATACTGGACTAATGACTGCAACTGATAAGTATGGGGATTTTTACTGCACAGTGACTACTGTCTTTCTCTTTAAGTACATTTTGATGTTACATACTTTAGTAATGTTTTGAATGCAGGACTTTTATTTGTACTAGAATATTGACTCTGTGTGATATTAGTATTTTTACATTAGTCATCTGAATACTTATTCCATCACTGGTTTCACTTTAAAGGGGCCCTATTATGCTTTTTGGGGTTTTTCCTTTCCTGTTATAAAGGTTTGTGTGCATGTAAATGGTCTTCAAAGGCTAAAATCTCTTCATCATACTCCCTCCCCCCCCCCCTGCCTGAAATGCCTCCATTGGACTTCATCAAGATAGTGACATCACTATGTAACACTTGCGCTTCTATTGGCTAGCGCTCCAACGCATTGTACGTGATAAGCTAAGAGGTGGGACATCTCTAAGCTGTTGACCAATCACAACAGAGCTAACCGAACCAATGGGAACAGAAAAATAAAATACCTTTTTAAACATTGGAGCATGTAAACATGTCACAGTAGAGGCACAACATACAAATATGTAGCTGAAATTGAACATAACAGGGCCCCTTTAAATAAATTGTGATGTTATTCATGGTTAATGCTTGCTGGATTTTTTGTGAGGAGCATTTTCACTGTGTGATACTAGTAGTTGTACTTCAGTATAGCATGTGAATGCTTGTCTGAGCACTGTGTTGAGTGTGGTGAACAGTGGAGATGTTACCTTGTAGCTCATGGTGTGTGCGCTGCTGCACGCTGTGTTGATGTGATCGTTGCTTAGATACGGCCTGCTGCCTTTACGTTTCCCCTCATGTCCTCTGTGGATAGAAACAGATGAACACTGTCAGATGTTTATCTCGATAGATTACTTAAATATTTCACTTCTACTTGCAAATCTACGAATAAAAGTATTTTATATCGTCTTATCTTTCAAATGGAAACAGAAGCTCCTATTATATTTTGCATTTAATTTAACCCTCTTTTTCTTTTGTTTTTGCATTTCTACGCTGGTAAAATTCAACTTAGTATATTAAAAGCTCTGTAATACTGTATTTATGACCAAATCTGAGGTGCTTGTACATGTACTTCTACTACTGTTTTACCATAATTTCACTATCTACTTTGACTCCTCGAGGTAAAATATTGTACTTTTTGCATAACTAAACTTATTTCATAACTAAACTTATTTCATAACTAAACTTATTTCTGAGCTTTAGTTAATATTTACATGTCCGCATTGCATCATTGCATTTAAGAATACGTTTCATTATCTTACAGCACATATCTTAACTGTAACCCATTGTAAACAATTTACTTAACTACACTTATTTCAGAGCTTTTATTCTGTTTTCGTTATATCCTCTCAGTGTTCATTTCTAACAGAGATTTAATGGATTTCCCACTAATTAATTGGAATGAAATATACCTTTCAATAGTTTTTTTTTAAGGATAACATATCACTGGATGACTGTAGACATGTTATACCTTTTAAATTCCAATTTTAAATGTTGCTTTTCTAATATAGCAGTTTGAATCTATGAATCTGTGTGAATATGAAGGTCAATATTGATAAAAGCAGTTTTTGAGTTGAAGAAAAGCTGATATAAGCAAGCAATGCAACATGTCAAATGTAGTGATTAAATTATGGCTATAATAACCCGAAATGCAATAACTCAAACATATGGTTTATAACTTCCTGTAAGACTAGTTCATGAACTAAAGAGCAGATCGCGTTCACACCAGAATAAGTCCCTGAGGGACGATTAGGCAAATGAAGCTGCTGACGTCACTTCTTCTTCTTCTGCTTTGGGTTTACTGGCAGGCCACAAACAACTTCCTTGTATACTGTCACCCGAAGTGCCCGGCCGGACGTCCCGGAATGACAGAGAGGAGACTGTTAAGTTTGGCTGTACTCAGCATTGAATCAAAACGCACTAAAGCTTTGGATCTTACTAATTTTGTGAGGCGTTTTGCTTAACAAAATGGTAATCGCCGCATTCAGCTGTAATAGACATGCCAACTCGATGCTCTGCTCACGGATGAGCATAAAAAACAGTTAAGATGATGACCTTGTATGTATATATTTTTTTCTTTGAGGGGGTCTGACCCCAAAAAACAGTTTAAGTCCTGAGAAAGTCAAATAAGACGGTGTGTAAAACTACACTGCCCAGCCAAAAAAAAGTAACCACTTTGATTTAACTAGTAGGTTAGGGCTTTCCACTGGATAATAACTGCAGTGATTTATATGTTTTAGCTGAATACACATTTTTTAACCCTAACTGATGCAGTTAGTCACTTCTTTAATGTTTGTTCTTTCTGATGTAAAGTCAAGGTTGTAACTGTTTGCAGTAAATTTGTGGGGCGCTGAACTGTTCTTTTGATTCTTTTGAATTTTGATACAGTATATGATCGTAATTACTTGTCTTTCAAATTTGAAGGAGGGTGAGCAAGCATCTTGAGGAACATTCATCATTAACTCCTCCAAAAAATATAGTTTATTTAATAATAACACTGAATATGTGAATCATAACAGTGATTGACAGCTGATAGGAATGATATGATTGTTAATATTATCATATTATTTCAGACAAACATCGATGAGACAGTTAATGAATGTACTTATTGCAGCAGTCTGTATATATTTGGTACCCCTGCTGGTTTAAAAGTGAAACAAACTCATTCAGTTATTGTTCATTTAAAATTCATTGAATTATGTCTGCCACTTTATCTATTTATATTTAAGGATTTACTGTTGTGCCACAATAATGTCACCTAATGTTATTGAGTTAAAATATCACCTTTTAAATGCGTGTTTTCTGAATGGAGATCGGGGGGGTATACTACGAAGCAGGATTTTCGCTTAGCCGGCTTTTCGGTTTCCGGTCCTACGAAGCTGGTTCTCTTTTTAGCGGGCTGGATCTCCATGGTAACTTATGCTGTGCGGCTAACCTGGGGGGTATACTACGAAGCAGGATTTTCGTTTAGCAAGATGACTTCTGGGATTTCCGGTACTACGAAGCTGGTTCACTTTTTAGCGGGCTAGATCTCCATGGTGACTTATCCTGGAACCTAGTCTGTGCTCCGAAGCAGGATAGGTTCCAGGATAAGAGATCAACTCAGCGAAAGCACCACGCCTGCTGACCAATCAGAGCTCAGTGTGCGGAGGAAATACAGTTTAAACTGCCGTTGCAGGAAAGACGGCCGGCCAAAATCACCGACTGTGTGAACGTGAAAATGAATAGAACATCACCTCCCATCTTCAGAGCAATCTGACTATTATGTTAAGAAAGCTTAATTAAATATCTGCCACAACATAAGTAACATTACGTAGCCTACAGTCAGCGGCACTGTGAGTGCAGATGTCGATGTCCCATTATCATTCATATCACATCATATCACATCATAATGTATCATATATTTCCTTATCTGAGTCAGCTGAGCCGTATCTGGCTGTGCAACACTCACAGTGTCACATACTGTATGCATAAGTATTATTTTAAGCAACACATTAAGTTGACGAAACACTCGAGTCAAATGTAATTAAAGTCAGATCCACTCGTGTCTTAGACGGGGCAGTGATATCATAAACCTGTTAATGTACGCATTCAAACACTTTTTTCTTTTATCAGCTGTATTCACCTTGCAGGTGCAGCTATGTGGATTTTATCCTGGATAAAGTGTTTGAGTCATGGATGTTTAAAGTTTAACTTCTTCATATGTCTAATATTAAAGTTGACTTTTCATTCAGGAAGTATGACGCTGCGCTGTCAGTATGCTTCTCCATATTTGTGATTGGTCGAATGATCCAAATACCACCCCTTTCATGTGAACGCACACCTAACTAGATAGGACACGGCTGGCTTGAGCGATCCACTTGATAACCCGCGTCGTAGTACAGTTTAGCGAGAGCGTGTATGTTTTGGATTAGGCCAACCGGCTAACTCAAACATATCCAGGTTAGGTTGAACCAGCTTCGTAGTAAAGGCCCCGGATCGACCAGGCTAAGCTAACGTTGTATATGCTCCGACCACACTCATAACAACGGCCTACAGACAGAAATAAACCAGCGACTGTATTTGCCATGACACAGACAGTCTGTGGTTTGTACTTGTTTAACTTTTGTCCAGTTTCTGAACAGATATGAGGAGCTGTGAGCTCTGTGTGTTAACTGCTAACAGCTAACGGCTGATGTTTTCTGGTTGAACGTCAGTGGCGGCAGGCTGAGATCCTCACCGCTGATTGGCTACCGCCAGATTGCGTCACGCAAATATGACGCTCGAGTTGAACAAATTGAACTCGAGCGTTTGTCGCAGCCCCCTTCAATCGCCTCAATCGCGCCACGGAATTCGCGTTCACCGCTTCATGCTCGGGGTCGCAGCGAATTTGCGTCTGTCCGCGTCTCTGCATTGACTTTACATGCAATCACGCCGGCTCCAAACATCGCATCGCGTCCGGTGTGAACGCAGCATAAGTAATGCGCGTTCACACCGGACGCGATGCCATGTTTGGGGGCGCGATCTCGCGGTAGCCAATCAGCGGTGAGGATCTCAGCCTGCTGTCACTGACGTGCAACCAGAAAACATCAGACGTTAGCTGTTAGCAGTTAGCACACAGAGCTCACAGCTCCTCATATCTGTTCAGAAACTGGACAAGTTAAACAAGTACAAACCACAGACTGTTTGTGTCATGGTGAATACAGTCGCTGGTTTATTTATGTCTGTAGGCCTTTGATATGAGTGTGGACGGAGCATATACAACGTTAGCTTAGCCTGATCAATCCGATCTCCATTCAGAAAACAAGCATTTTAAAAGGTTTTTCGTCAAAAGGTTCTCATGAACTAAGTTCTAGTTCCGGATTTTTTTTGGTGTGAACGCAAATTTTCGGAACTATATCGGAACTACACTGGGAAAAGTACTCCGGTGTGAAAGCGCCTATTGCATTTAAGATTATGTTTTATTATCTTACATCTCTTAACTCTAACCCATTGTAAACTGCATCTTGATTCATCTTATCTTTACTGATTTACTGTAGCAACCTCTCCTTCTTTTATGACACCCACCTTCATCAGCCTTTTTGATAAATGGAATTGTCTTTTATTTTTGTATTAAATTCAATCAAAAACGGATAATTGTGGAAATGCCTCTAAAATAACAATAATCTATATTTGTATACCAAAATAACGAGTAGTATTGCACAGTAACACAGTACACATATCATAAGCTACATACAGCAGTGCATAGGTGCAAAATAAGACATTAAACACAGGCCATCCTCAGACACCATGCAATCAGGATCATTACAGCAAGATATCTAGGTCGATGCATTGATATATTAATTAATAAACATACAAACATGCATATTTATCTCTATGTTATTTATACATCTGTATTACCTTATCTAAGGTGTTGACTGTTGAGCTGTTATTCGTTGACCTGTGTTAAGTGATGCTCCTCCGTTACCGTGCCGCCAACCGCCTCGTTTCCTCTGATGTATCGTTGCTCCGGTACCGTTCAGGTTGTTGTTCCCGCCGCCATGTTCCCGGTAAGTCTCGTGCCTCTCGGCCCCGCTACCACCCTGCGTGCGTCCGGTACGAGGCCTCTGTCGGTGTCCGGTGGCATTTGGATAAGCACGAACCGTATCTCTGCAAATCCTCTCCTCTCTCTCTCTCTTCCACCGCGCAGAGTGCATCACCGAGCCTCAAGCACGCGATAACGAGACACGCGCGCTTCCTGCCAGACTTTCGAAATAAGAGCCGTAATCTGTTCAATTCAGTATCAGAATCAGAATCAGAATACCTTTATTAGTCCCACAGAGGGGAAATGTACATTGTTATGGCAGAAAATAGACAAAGACTGCTTAATGTTACCTAAGCATGCATAAAAAAAAAGTACTAAAGATAAAAAAATAAGATATTATAATAAAAAAGTTACACATTTTACAAAAATACACACCCTGTAACAGATCTGAGAATTTAGCAGCCAGGTGTATATATTGCACAGTTTTTAACGGCATACATATATATTGAACATATTGCACATATTGCTAGTTGGTATTTAACAACAAGAGGTGTTATAGTCTGTGTTGTTGTGTTCGGGCGTTTACTATGGGCCGTGCTGGTTATATACATATAATTCAATTCTCATTAAGGTTTTATTGTCATATGGTAAGGTAAGGCAAGTTTATTTATATAGCACATTTTCAGACACAGAGGCAATTCAAAGTGCTTTACATCATCATTAACACTTAATAAATAGACAACAGAAAGGAACACAATAAATAAACATAATGGAATAGCAGATTCATAAAAACCATGCATAAAAGAGATAGTTTAAAAATAACATTATAAATACGGTAGGTGCTAAAAACAAGTTAAAAGGCTTCTGGGTAAGCAGCTGTAAAAAGTAGTGTTTTTAGCCTCGACTTAAAAGAACTCAGCGTTGGTGAAGACCTCTGGGTTTCTGGAAGTTTATTCCGTTTGTGGGGAGCATGAGAACTAAAAGCAGCTTTGGCGTGTTTGGTGGTGGGGACACTTTTTTAGGATTAAAAACAACAACACTACTGCATTAAGTGCCACCAGAACAATTCATATATACATACGCTTAGTCGCTTACGATACTTTTTTTGACAATTAGTGCAGTAACTATATGCTAAAATGCTGCAAAGTGGTAGCAACTTTTGCTTTATTCTCTATTAAACTATTACTAATATGGTAATATGCGACCAGGATGTAGTTTGTTTATATTATTACATTAGATATTTACTTCTATATATTGCATTTATGCTTGAATAACAGTCATTTGCAGTGCTGAAATGTAGTATACGTGTACTTAATGGCTGTGCTTACATACAATCTTATGGTATTTGTACTACATTTTTTGCTAAATTATACTTCTAATTCTCTACATTTGAGAGGCAGGTATTGTACTTTAACTCCACTTAATTGTTGACATGTCTACACATGGTACCTTCTACATCAGGGGTGTCAAACTAAATGTAATCGCGGGCCACATCAGCATTATGGCTGCACTCAAAGGTCCGGTTGTAACTTTAAGACTATATAAGAATACATATATAAATATATAAAATAATGTATTATATTACATTATTGCCTCTGCATTGGATTATTATCAGATAGAGTAATAACTTCATAATTAGCTACATCTGAAAGCAGAAGTCTGGGGCAAATAATTGCAAGGCTCTTCAGTGAGAATGTCACAAGTTAAACAACTGAACTGCTGAAACAACATCCATAACATTCATCTGCTACTTAGTAATTATTTATCTATTTACCTAATATATCATTCCAATAACTTGCATATAGACTCTTATTGCACTATTTCACTTTTTTAAACTATTTTTCTTTTTGTATTTACTATTTACTTGCACCATATATTTCTGTTTATCTGTGTTATTGTGTTGCACTGTTGGAGAAGCCTGTGACCTAAGATTTTCATCGGCATAACTACACTGTAGCTCTGTTCGTTTGACAAAATAAAGAACCCTGAAGTGACATTTCAACAAAAAAAAATGACATTTAAAAAAGGAAGTGAATTTTGTTTTTTAAAGGTCCCATGTCATGGCCATTTCTACTGATCATAATTCCATTGTTGAGGTATAGATTTATATTGTGCAATTTTCCAAACTCACATTGGTTTCTCATACAGCATCTCTGTAAAGTATGTGTTGTTGTGGATGTTTTAACCTCGTCAATACTGTATAGATGTACAATGAGAGTAATCAATAAACTGGTGAAAGCAAACAGAGTTGTCTTGTTGGTTCTTTATTTGAAGCGCTTCAAAGGTACATGTCTCACAGAGTACAGAGTAGTCTGCAGGAGTGCACACAGGGGCGTGTGCGTGTGTGTGTGTGTGTGTGTGTGTGTGTGTGTGTGTGTGTGTGTGTGTGTGTGTGTGTGTGTGTGTGTGTGTGTGTGTGTGTGTGTGTGTGTGTGTGTGTGTGTGTGTGTGTGTGTGTGTGTGTGTGTGTGTGTGTGTGTGTGTGTGTGTGTGTGTGTGTGGACTGTTGCTGTGCAGAGAGTAACAAAAATAACACTTTCTCCTGACTGTTATCTTACAATGCTCTCATAAGAGTCGCATTCTTCAGGTACGACCTTGGCAGTTGACCAAACATTTCTCAGCATAATATCATCATTTGGTTTTACCATATGAAATAATATAAGAAATTGCCACTAGTGTATTCACCGGTATTCACTAAATGGCCCAAACGGCTTGTTGGAGCTCCTGTCCCCCCCTCCCTGTGAGCCCAGTGTGCTCCGATTGGTCAGCTCGGCACTCTGTTCTGATTAGTCAACCACCAGAGATGGTTGACTAACCGCCCATGTCTAACACAGTGCTTTTTTCGGCTCTGAGCGGAACATCAACAATGATATGTTATAGGAGCAAATAATTCAGGGAAGAAAGGCTACTAAATATTTCCATCACATTTTATTTTTAGAAATGTACAAAATGAACATGTGTAAATATACATATATATACACTGTATATCATCCATTCCTCCCCTTTTAGGCGTTTTCGGCATCTTGCCTATCGCAGCTTTGTAAACTGGTGCTGGGGATTTTTAGGACGAGGCATCAGAGTGGTCATTCCGTCATGTGTTGTCCGCCGGATACGCAAGGAGTTTCCTGATCTGGCTGGACGAAATCAAATGCAAATCACAAAATATTAGAGAAACTTAGTTGTTTTAGGTTCGTTAGCTTTCCAGCTAGATTAATATGCTAACCTACATTTGCTAGTTGTTCAGTGTAATATGCCAACCTACTATGAAAAACAGCTAGTGGTTCATATTAGGCTAGCAATAACGAATGTTTACAATTGAAATCTTATACGGGTAGTCTGCTACTTTCGGTCATTCATTGTAGCTGGCATAAAAACAATGTTTTCCCTAGCAAACTCATGTCTAGCTCTTGGTAGCCTTCTTTTTTAGCTCGGTAGCATACACGCTGGGAACGCCAACTATAATGTAATTAAGTTTCGCGACTGACCGTACGATAAATCACCCGGAGTATAGCCTACTGTCTATGAGTATTTTGTGTGTGAATGCAGACACTAAATACACAAACAACAATGAATACTTACAGGTTGTGTACTCGAATCTCCCGCTGGTCCAAACAAAGTAGGAACAGCATCGTTCTTCAGTGCCCTACGCTGTACATATCTGGCATGAATCGCTGAAAGGTTTGTGAAGCTTTGTTTCGTGAAATGCTGGCAGAGGGTGTGGCCTCTGGGTATTCACACGTCACAGTACCCAGGAAGTAAACAATGGAAAATGAGAAATCTCCAACGAGGCGTTTTGGGGCAGCATAGACTGTGTTAGAGTTTTACTCGCTACAGGGTGTACTTTGAGGGGTTTTGTCTCTGCAGAGACCGTTTACATGCATAAAAACCTTCATAACACACAAAGGGACGGGTAATAACCGGAAAAGCATGACATGGGCCCTTTAAAGCAGTGGTTCTCAAAGTGGGGGGCGCAGAGGCATGCCAGGGTGGGGGGGGGGGGGACGCGAGAGACCAGGAGGAAAAATGGTTATTAAAAAAAAAGATCATAAATTGAAAAATTATTGATTTGAAAATAACGTGATGCAGTACTATTCCGTCTGGGTCTCTGTGTTTCATTAAAGCTTGGCTCTGTGTGTGTGTGTGTGTGTGTGTGTGTGTGTGTGTGTGTGTGTGTGTGTGTGTGTGTGTGTGTGTATGTGTGTGTGTGTGTGTGTGTGTGTGTGTGTGTGTGTGTGTGTGTGTGTGTGTGTGTGTGTGTGTGTGTGTGTGTGTGTGTGTGTGTGTGTGTGTGTGTGTGTGTGTGTGTGTGTGTGTGTGTGTGAAACGAGCCATTTTGTGTGTGCGAGAGAGAGAGCGCACCGGTACCGGAGATCGTTGTTGTTAGCTTCTGGTGCTAGCGAGCTACGCTAACGGATATAAGGAGTTTTTTCAACAACAAAGTGGAGGAGAGTCCTCTCCAGTCAGACTGAGAGACTCAGTGAGCCAAAGGACTCTCTCAGTGTTATCTCAGTGGGTCGCAAACGTTTTGGTCACCATTAATGTAAACAATTATTTCCGAGGCACACGTTTTTATGATCATTATAGTTATACAAAAATAAGAGAATAAATAAAAAACAGGTATGAAATACTATATGACAGTAAAACAAGAATACATTTAAAAGGGTGATTTGTAAAATATCCATAAAGAAAAAGTAAATCTGTTTACAGTTCTGTTTCATATGGGTGTTGAGAGATGTATCCATAGATCTCTTCATTTTGCTCTCAAATTGCACGAGATTGATGCATTTAACTTCAATATTTGGCGCCGCCACTGAGCCTGACTATTTGTGTTGGGGGGGCCCGACTTATTTTTTTCTCCAAAGGGGGGCCTGACAGAAAAAGTTTGAGAACCACTGCTTTAAAGTAACATTTTGAAAAAAAAGTCAGGTGGGGCCAGTGTGGACGTAAATGGCGTTGAAGACCATCATGAGGACTTTGTAGTTGATCCGGTGGGTTACAGGGAGCCAGTGGAGTGAGTGAAGGATGGGGGTGATATGCTCTGATTAACGTGTTTTTGTGAGTAGGCAATCCGGGCGGCACCGTTTTGTACATATTGCAGTCTCTGAGTGGTTTTTGTTGGAATGCCTGCAAGCAGAGAATTGAAAAAGATCGGTTTACATTTTAACAACCAAATAA